CCCCTGGCCTGCTGGAGTTGCCCACCTGCTGCTCTGTACAGGGCCTTGGGCTCTGTTTTCTTTCCACTCTCCCCCAGCCCAGATCAGCTCAGCAGACAAATCTGGGCCTCATGTAGGGAGACCCTCCACTTTGACACTGGTCTCCTTCCCTTTCTGGCTGTCTGCAGCGTTCCTCCCCCAGGGAGGCTCTTTTCCCCTGTTCTTGGTCTGGTGACCCCTTTCTACCCTTCCACCTGCCCTTTCCCTGATCCTGTTTCCTGATTCTCAAATTCACCTGCTCTGTGTCTTCTCTGTCTCCTCACTGCCCTGAAGCATGGGCTGCCTCTGTCCCGGGATGGTCCCACAGGAGTGGTCAGTCAACCTCGGATGTAACGGATATTCTACTGCAATGTGGGCTCAGTCCATTGCACGGTCCCTGCCCCATGCTGGGCCAAGCACCACCGAAGGCAGCTGTTTTAGCCCATTTTTCTGTTGCAAATGACAGAATACCACAGACTGGCTGATTTGTAAAGAGTAAAGAGCTTTATTTAGCTCAAGGTTCTAGAGGGCTGAGATGGAGGCGTTACAGCTGGTGAGGCCCTTCCTCTGCAGGGTCCTCTGCAGGGTCAGGAGGTAGCACAGCGTGTCACAGTGAGAGGGCAGAAATGAATAAGGGCTCTAGTCTGAATCCCCTTCTGATAAAGCCGCCAATATTCAGTTATGGGCCCCCTCTTATAACCTTATCTATCGAATTCTAGGTGCCTCTGAAAGGCCCCACTTTTTAACCCCATAGTCAGATTGTTTCCACCTTAGTATTGTCACAAAACCAACCGAATCTCAACAGACAGATTCATACTATAGGCCCATTCAAACACAGCAGGACCCGGCTCTAGTGTGAGCTATAGAATGGATAGCCAGTGGGTTGCTTAAGTAAATCTTGAGGATCTGCTAACCAATGTGTGTGCTTATATTAATTTATATATCAAGGCAGTTGTTTTGAATACATAGTGATCTATATTCCAATGATTACAAACCGAGTGGTGGGCACCTGACCTGCATTGCCTTTGATCCTCATGAAGATACTGCTGGTTGCATATTGTTACTGCCACTTCAGAAAGGAAGAGACAGAAAATACAGTTTGGCTGAGTCCATGCTGCCAGCAGGTGTCAGTGTTGAGCCATAGATACATACACACACCTCATACTGCATGTATGTTAGAACATGCGTGTGCACACACATCCATATCTATTGTCTATTTATCCGTCTTCTGGTAGAAATCTCAGGAAAAGACCTTTATTCCACCAATGTCTCTTACATTGCACTTAATTTAATTTTAGTTGCCTTATCCACTCTTAATATGCCTGGTTCTATTTTCATGTAGCTGTGACAATACCAGAGTAAAGAATCACACAGTAAGACAGAATCTAAAGTCTAGAAATGTGCATGGAAATGGCTTGACAGTGACTGACACCAACAAATTAGTGAACAGGAGACCTCTGGCTAGCTGGATCTCATGTCTGAAGACTGTTTCCACTAACTCACTTTCTGTAGAATAGCTTGCTATCTAGAAAACTCAGCAGGGCTGTATTTATGCTTTTCAAATTCTGATCACCATACGTGTGTTTGATTATTCATTATCTTTCTATGAAATTCTATTAAATATAAATGATTCAAAGAAACATCAAGAATAAATCATGAAATAATCTAAACCACCATCTTTGTGCCAGTCCCTAGGTACCAGTCCTGTGAATCCTTCAGGCCTTCCATGGTAACTTTTAGAGCCCCCTGTTGTCACTGAGGATGCCACAGGATGGTAGAGATCAGCAGTCTAGCCCACAGCAGAGCCCTCCTGGCATGGGCTCTGTGGCCATTGTTCAGCCACCCTTGGAGAGCAGATAACCTTTGATTGCAGAGGAATTTATGACAGATTTCGATTCTAGCAAGATTTTTTGTAGAGTAGGATAAATGGAATTTCTTTGTGTCTTTACTACCCCTTTTCCTTGATTTACACAAAGAGTTCTGTATTAAGGACCCATTATGATCTGGTCAGTCATCAGACTGAACCATTTGAGCACGTGTGCCCCACAGTGCTGTGTTAGAATCTGCATAGACAGAACAGAGCACAGAGGCGTCGTCAGGGTGCTCGGCATCGGCTCGTACATGGCCAAGTCGTGTCAGAATTTTTGATGCTCTTCCTCTTCTCATCTCTCATGCTTGTTATTTCTGTTGTGAGTCTTCTCATAGTACTTCCTCAGCATGGCCCCTATTATGTAACTGCAGATGCAAAGTGAAGTTGTTGGCACAACCGTAGTGGTGCAGTGATGGCACGCTGCTCCACCACACGGGGTCCATGTGGAAGATCAAGGGTTTGGTCCCCCAGTCCACCTGTATGCAGTGGGCACTTGTGTATCCATGGCCTGGGCTGGCTGGGAATGCAAGGGATGACTGTGCTTTACTCTTGAATAGTGCTTGCATAACTGATTGCTCTCTTAAAGACCATTGTTTTTTCAGTGTGAGTAATGACAAATATTGGGGCTCAGAGATCGGGTCATTTGGATTCCCTGATCCCCTTTCTCCACCCCTGCTTCCATTGCTGGTTGTATGAATTTAGACATGCTATCAAGTGTCTGGGCATTAGTGTCTTAATGTATGACATGAGAAGAATAATAACACAGTATCTACTTCAGTGGATCTTGTGAGTTTAATGAGTATGTGATTGTAAACACAGAGAAAGCACAAGAGTTAACACTCTCTATCTGTATCTATAAATATGAGTTCATTGCAGACACAACCCTAAGCTAGAAAGTCCCACAACAAACCTCCTTTCCTTTGTAATTGCTTGGTTTTCTGCTCAAGACTTCCTAGATATGAGAGATACTTGCTATGTGGTTCTCATGCTGCCTGTTATTGGGCAAATAGCAGAAGTGGGTCGTTGTGAGGGTGTTTGGTCAGTCTTGGTGACTGCCTCATACCTCATGGACAAGGGCTGGTAGGCTTAGCCCAAGGCCAGATATGTTCCCTACTTTGTCTCCTCCCTGTAGATAGGGTTTATTGCCGATGATGATCATGGTGGGCTTCTGTTTCACACTGTAGCTATTCGAGCCTGGGTACAAGACCTATTCTGAAAGGACTTAGCCTTCTCTTTAGAATTCAGCATACAGGTAAATGTTTTCTTTAAACACCAATTATAGTTTTGTCATTGCTTCATATCTTTGCTTTGGGGGTCTACTTCAGTGAGTAATTCTCATTTGAGTCATAGTGAACACAGATTCAAAATTTATCCCAACAATGATTTGTGTGTTCCAAAACCACAGACTACAAATGTATAAGCTGCTCTTTGTGTGTGTGTGTGTGTGTGTGTGTGTGTGTGAGCATCTTTCCAGGATATTAAAGCATAGAGGAATGTCTAACTTCTATCTGTGCACTTTAATGTAATCCAGATTTTTAATTATTAGATACTCATTTCAGATTAAAGCAGCAGTGATCTTAGCATACGTTGGACAGTATATAAGTTAAATCGGTTCTTGAAAACTTCTTTGAGTATTACTTGATGTACTTAAGAACAATATAATGGATTGAAGGGGAAAGCATAGTATATATTCCATCTGGAAAATTTGTTACATTTAAAATGTAAAGTTGAATTAAAGTCATTTATTTCATGACCACAGAAAAATGCAAATTAACTGAAAATTGACAAGATTTTTTCTGGACAGAATAGCATAGTAGTCAGTGCCAATGGCACGTCAGTCTCTGAAGTCAATGTTTGCATTTCAGGTCTTAGGTGAGCCTGTCGTGTGTCTTATTCTTAACATTAATGCCTTGTCTTACAGCCAAACGTATTTTTAGTTCTCCTGCCAATGACGTTTATTGGAACAATCCTACTGAATGTGGTAAAATACAAGGCCAATTGAATCTCCCCAACAAATTGTCCCTGAAAATGGGTCCTTGTGGATACAGCTGTTGCTTGTATCTTTCCATCAATTTTGGAAACCAAAGGTTATTGCCATAATTCTCCTAATTACACCATTAAATTCAGATATTTGCTGATTGAATAGAATGCTCTTAAAAATAGGGAAATGGGTAGGAACCAGATCTTGTTATTTGATTTTAAAGATAAATCTTAGGACTTGTCTGTGTGTATCTCCCTATTATCAGTAGGCTCAAAGGAGAAGTTAGAAAGGAAACACATTAAGTGCAAATTGTAGAATTCAGTTGATAAAATCTATTTTTCTAAGTTACTCATGAGCTTGGTAATTAAGTCTTTACTATAATTCTGTCATTTCTAAATCATCATTTTTAAGCTAATTATGAAGCTGGAAAGCTATAAGCCAATGGCTTCATCTCAGTACTCTTCCCCAAGCAGTGCAGAAATAAGAAAATAAGGGTCGCTTCTCTCAGTTCAGCGTCACCATAGTAACGGGAATTGTAAAGCTTAGTCCCATTCCCAGCACTCACCTTACAGTTCTGTTTTTTTGTTATTGTTGTTGTTTTTTATTTTTTTTTTAAGTTTACACCAATGGAAAGTATTTTTAAAGGCCTTAGTAATAGCACACAAATTATGTCAAAGTCACACGGGTGTATGTAAGAAAACTCCGACAATTTTATTGTCTGATACACGCAGTAGTAAACTTGTTCTGAATCATATTTCATCTTTTTAATCTTATTTTCACCCTTTCTTTTCAGAATATTGTGTAAGAATTTGCAAATAACGTTAATATGTTTTGTTCTAAAATATACAGCAAGTCTTTGCTGCCTGCTTCTGATGTTACAGGTGTCGTGTTAACGTGAACACTGATTTGGCTCAGGGTGTTCAACTGTGGAATCTTGCCGGTAATTTCTGTGAATTAGAGCTTGTATGTCAGCCCGAGTATCCTAGTTGTTTGATCATTAAACTGAACACGGGGTATCCCATTTGTCCTGTCAGAACCTGGTGTTGTCTAAGGCAAATTCTGCCTCCTTAGAAGAAAAACCAAGCAGGTGAGAGAGGTGTTGAGATTTTTCTTCTTTCCCATTGCTTCCAGAACCAAACTTTGTGTCATCCTACGACATCGGAAATTTCACCTACTTCTTTTTTCGGGAAAATGCTGTGGAGCATGACTGTGGGAAAACCGTGTTCTCCAGAGCTGCGCGGGTCTGCAAGAACGACATTGGAGGCCGTTTCTTGTTGGAGGACACGTGGACCACGTTCATGAAAGCTCGCCTGAACTGCTCCCGCCCTGGGGAAGTCCCCTTTTACTACCATGAACTGCAGAGTACTTTTTTCCTGCCCGAGCTGGATTTGATCTACGGCATCTTCACCACCAATGTGTATGTAACTCGACATAATTTCTTCCCTTCTCTTTTCTCATTCTGAATGGCCCTTTTGTTCTTTGGCCTTTGTGGTTTTAAAGTTGCTTTAAAGGAAATCTTTCTTCTTTGACTGGGCTAACAGCCAAAAAAAAAAAAAAAAAAAAGACTTTTCAGTATGACTTAAATGTTAGACAAAGGTACATGATTTATGAGATTGCTATTAGGAAAATAAAGCTAACCCCCAAAGTTCTTATGTTTCTAGAGGATAGTAATACCAAATTCTTACATCCTCTTCTAAACTGCTCTCTCTTAATGTGCCTGTGTTCTGGACACTTTCTGCAACATGGGTACATATTAGATGCATTTTTTTTCTATATGTATATCACACATTTGTTCATAATAAAAACAGAGCTGTCTGTGGAGCCTGGTGTTTGAGGTAACAGAACCCTTACCTCTATGCCTGATCATAGATGAAGTGTACAATCTCACTTTTCCTTCCACACCTGCTCTCTTTTGTTTCATAGACTGAAATCGGCCATTTCTTTTTTTCACATCTGCTCTTTAAATCACTGTCCTAGAAGATAGCTAACTTGGGTGGCACATTTTTTTGGGGGGGGAGAGGTTTTTGCTATAGGGCACGTGCGCTCCCCAGACAGACAGAGAGAGACACAGAGACAGAAAGCGAGAAATCACCCCCCAGAGGGGATGGTCACACCGCAATCCCTTCTCCTCCATTCTCCTCTCGGGATCTTGGGCATGCACGCACACGCACCCAGCGTGAGTTTTAAGCCACTGGGTCCGGGACGTGAACTGCAGTCGACTACGTGGGAGTCCAGCAACATAGCCATTACGCTAACTGCTGGTTCCCGGGTGGCACATGTTTTTGTAAGTGATAATGATACATCTAAAATATTTTTAGAAAACTTTTTTTAATTGCCAAAGTGCAGTTGTGCTTACTAGAGAGAGATCAAGAGAGGGAGAAATCACTTCCAACAGGGCAAGGTCATGCAGCAACCCCTTCTCTGCCTTTCCTTCATCTATTGAGATTTGAGGCACATATGCACTTATTCTTGGAGTGATTTTCAAACCTCTGGGGCTGGGAGTTGAAATGCAGTCAGCCATGAGGGTTCTAGCTCCTTTAACCACTAGAACATGGGACTGATCCTAAAATAATAAGAATGAAAAACAGTACATTTTCTCTTTGAGGGAGATACTTTTGACAGAAGAAGCAGCATTTGGACTAGGTTAACTGTATGAAGTTTCCTGTCTCATTCACTCTCAGACTGGTAGATCATCTCGTGACCTCACAGTTATTCTCCATGCTTCGTGAGCACGCTGCCGTAAGACCCAACTGAGCACACTCAACCCCTAGAACCGAGCCACACTGAGACTCTGAGACCCCCTAACTCACCACCAGAGGTGCTCATGGCCGTTCCACCCTTGGGCTCTGTTTGGGCCATCTCTGGCATCTCTAGTCTGATACCTAACACTGAACAGAGGCCAAGCATTTGTACTCAAAGTAAAAGATCCAAATGTGGATAAGTGTACAGTGCTGATAAATGGGATAGGAGCCCCAATTTGTCTGAGATCACCCCATTTTGAACATTGATGGCAGCCCTCCATCTTGGGAAACCTCTTGGTTCTGGGCAAACCAGTACAGCCATAAACTTTTGATGTTTGCTCTGCTTCTCAGATGTTTTTAGCTTATTTTTTCATCTGCCAGTGAAGAGTCACTTCACACATTTGCTTCTTCGTTAACCTTTCCCCCTGCACTTCCTACTGCTGAGCTTGTGTTAGCGTGTGCTTGGTAACAGTGTTCACCCCCCGAGAGTCTTCTTTCTGACATGAAGTTAGAGAAAGAAGGCTGCTCTGGAGGCTCCATGCCCACCTCCACTCCAATATGACCATTTTTATCGTCGTAAACTGGGTCTTCAACCCCAAAGGTTATTTTCCCTCCTTGATAAGTTTCTTAAAAAAAAAAAATCAATTTATAGTTTCTGAAGTTGATTTGCTTCCCTAAACCTTGTTTAGGAAGTTGTGTTGACTGCAGAAGATAAATGTTCTGTTGCTCTGTTGACATCAATTTTACACACAATGGGAGCTGGGTTGACTTTGCTGTTCATCCCCTGGTTCCGAGGAAAAAACGACCGCAACAGAAAACCCAGCAGTTTCAAGAATTATGTCAGATCTGAGTCTGAACTGCTCCAAGATGGTAAATAAACAGTGTAAATAGTCACAAAACTAAGTTTCAGATGATTCCAGGCCATGTTTTTTAGTGCTGCAAATGCTCATTCCTGTCAGAAGTCTCTCAGTATTTAGCATCTCAATGGGCAGAGATAGAATCACACCATATCTCCCTTTCCTCTCGAATATATAGCCTCAGTTAGTCTTGGGAATGAGCTTTGATACATTTATGTCTTATCCCATAATATTTCCACATCCCCTTCCTTTCATGTCTCAGTCATGATTGCACTACATTCTTTTTTTTTTTTTAGGTTTTGTTTTATATTTTATTTTATTTTATTATTATTATTATTATTTTTGCCATAGAGTTTGTGCACTCACTGAAGAGCAGAGAGAGACAGAAAGAAGTAAAATGAGAAATGTCCCCCTAGAGGGACATCCCTAATGGGCACCCCGAGGGTGCCCATTCCAGAATCCCTTCTCCTCTATTCTCCTCTTGGGATTTTAGGCATACCCACACAGGTACCTGGTGTGATTTTCAAGCCACTGAGTATAAGACTCGAACCACTGTCAGCCAGGTGGGAGTCTAGCACCTTAACTACCACGTCAACTGCTAGTCCCAATCTTAGTAAATTCTTGACAAGAATTTCTTCATATTGAAAGAAAATGAGGCTCAGAGGTAGGTAGTTGGTTTCTTCTTTGAATTAAATGGTGGCTATGCCTTGTGGCTCAGAGTTTTCGGTTGTTTCTGCATTCATCAAGGTTTCTTAGTGCTAGGAGAATGAGGGACAGGCGACTATTCTGATACATTCTGTCCCTAGGGCTGTGTGGTTTTCTCAACCACTTGGGCACAAGTGGGCTGAAGGCAATGGTTTGGTATTGCAGTGTAGCCTCTGGAGGTTCCACCTTTTCCCCTGGAGAGCTGTCAATGAGGGTTTGTTGGTATATAGTCTATCTCATATCCTGTATGCACATACGGGAAAGCACACGTAGATAATGAGTTGTGGATGGGGATGCTGGGGACAGGTAAGGGTTTTGGTTGTCTTTTCCTCCTATGGAGACAAGAGCTAGAAGACACTTTTCTACTTTTCTACCAGTGACTTCAAGTAAAGTGTAAACAAAAGCAATCTTGAAATTTCCCTGTCCTTGGGCTTGCCAAGGGAGTAAGCACCTCTTTTATTCACTTGGCTCTGAACAAGAAATAAAATGGAACATGAACTAAAGACACATGATTACCCTGAGAGCTGAGGGAGGCCAGGCTGGAACAAGGAGCTGTAGGTCCCCCTGGGCTTCTTAATACAGAGCCCAGCTTTGAGCAGACTCATCCACGACATCACATAGTCTAGAGCTGACCTAGCCTCACCTGCTGCAGAGAGGGAGACCCTGGAGAGTGTGGCTCTGCACTTCCTGCAGGCAGGCCCATCCAGGAAGAGGGCAGAGGCAGGGGAGAGGGAGGCACGTGGGGAAGGGCCACAGGACCTTTCTGCCCCACCCCTCCCAGGACACAGCAAGTGAACGTGCACAGGGCTTGGGCAGGGCAGGGTGCTGCAGGAAAGGTGCTCTGCTGGGGAAGTGATGTTTGCCCCACCAGAGAGAGTCCATCAGATTGTCAGCTCCTGCGACCTGTGGGAAGTCTCTGGGCTGACATGAGGGACCCAGACCAGCCCCATCCAGAGCTGGTGCATGGAGTGAGCAGAGGAAGATGATACCAGAAGGAAGAGGACACAGCTCTTTCTTTATGGAGAGCAGCATGACAGCTGGGTCAAGGGGGTGAGCACAGCGACTTGTGGGGCAGAGGCAAGCCCTGCTCTATGTTCCACAAGCAACTGCTTCACTGCTTTCCTTATCTGTAAAGCCAGACTCTTCTTGGGCTCTACAAGTTCTCTGAGAAATTAGGATCCTTATTAAGTGCTTAGCAAAGGCACAGGGAGATATTATTATCAACATGCCCCCCTGCAGCACCCTCACCCATCACTGCTCCTGGCCCAAGGGTGGACCCTGTCCTGTGTGTCTGGCCATTCTTGCTCCACCATAGCAGTTTTCTGATTCTTGCTGACTCAGTTCAAAGGCTGATTTGTCTCTGCTCTTGTGTTTTGGTTCGTTTGTGTTGTGTTTTGTTTTGGACAGGGTCTTCCTGTGTCAGGGCCCTTCTGGCCTAGATTTGACTAACTGGGATCGCAAGCACACACCACGGCACTCAGCATTTAGGGTGGGCTGGAATTGAACGTGTGGGACTCCATGTGGCCTCAGCCTGCAGAGCAGCAGCTTCAACCCGCACACACTTATCTTTGATTTTCTGTGTGTGCTGGAGGGCATACGCACCCTCCCCAGGGCACACGCACCCTCCCCAGGGCACGATCACACCTCCATCCCTTCTCTGTCGCTCCCTCCTGCATGGACTGGGATTAGTAAAGTTTTTAAAATAGCGTGTAGCACCTTTTCAGTGTTTGTCAAGGAAAATAAAATGAAGTTTGTTTTCTGTTTGGGAGTTTCCGTAAGTTTCCTTTGATACAGGAGAACTCATTTGTAAGAAGCCCACATAGTATTGGCTCAGATAATTAATATGGAAAACATACATGAACTTTCTCCTTTTATCTCCATGTTCCCTTTGAGAACCGGAAGTGAACTCAAAAAGCACATTTATTTAACCAAAGTATTTTGCCGTTTCTGTGCCTAGTCAAATGGCAATGGACTTCTGAGAACCTCCCATTTTCAACTTTCTCTGCAGAACTTGGGTTCTAAATGAAGGCTTCAAGATTTCATATGTCAGTGCTATGTCAAAATTTTCTCTTTGACCCTTTGAATTCTAAATCCTTTTTAAATTAAAAAATATGAAGGGCACTTTGTTGACATATGACAGACACTTTGTGCGAAATGCTTAGAGTTGATTAGTTTTTAAGGGATGGCAAACACAAATAACTAGGGATTAAAAAGAAAAAAATCTTGTCCCTCCCATCTTCCCCCCTCCCAGATTACTAAGTGATCCTGGTGGGAAGGAAGCCCTGGGGGGGAGTCCTGTAGGGCTGTAGACTTCATCCACTGGAGGAGAAAGTCTTTCAGAATTTAAAAGGTAAAGCATGAAGGTCTTCAGATCCCTTCTTGACGCTGTGGTAGCTGTGTGAATTAATCTCATTTAGCAGGATTACAAGTGTCATAATGCAGGACACTCTTATTACTGTGCCAAAGTATCTGTTCCTCTACCCTGAAATCACAGGGAAGTTCGGTCTCTGCTCCAACTTCCTGCTCTGGGCATGTTTAAGAGACCACTGTGGTCTCAAGATCTCCAAAAGCTGCTCCCACCTGGTCAGGGGTGGGGTCCACGGTCAGGTTGAGCTCTCTGACTCACCTCCTCCTTTCTCTCGACCCCAGGAACAGCATTGCTGCGTCTGCCGTGTGTGTCTTCAATCTGAGCGCCATCTCGCAGGCCTTCAATGGGCCCTTCAAGTACCAGGAGAACTCACGCTCCGCCTGGCTGCCTTACCCTAACCCCAATCCCAACTTCCAGGTAATTGCAGGAGTCAGAGGGTCACCTGGGAACCCCATGAAGGATGTGAAAAGCTGTGCGGGTGAGCTGGGGGTCCCCTGGTACACATGCAGAGCAGCTGCCATCTCCCTGTCCCTGCATGGTCCCCACGCTCCGCTCTACTAATGTCAATAGACCCAGCCTTTTGTCAGCTGTGGCGCCTGGACTGAAAAAGGGCCCTTTGTCCACTGTGGTGCCCGAGGCTGGACTGAAAAAGGCCGGCACTCTGCAGTGGGTGGTGAGTCCAGGCTTCAATTAGTACTAATGACGGTGGGCCCTGTGTCTCCTGTGTCTCTGATCCCTAATGAGTGCCATACTGATGAACAGGGTCCAGGGCACAGTATGATGGAGACAGAGCAGAACTGAAGCTCTAATTGGATATGTGGCGAGATTTCCTGCTGGAAAGGCAGGAGTCACGGAAGCTGGGGGAAAACAAGAGGAGACGGAGGCCAGGCATCCATACATTACACAAAGGCAGGATGAATGCCTGGTGAGGGGCTTCTCACGGCATCTGTGGCCCTCTCCCAGTGCTCGGGAGAAGCGCAAACCCAAGGAGAAGAAGCTGGTTGCTGGTGTGTGCTCAGCCGCAGGTGTGATAGGCTGCTGGGGCTGCTGGGGCCAAACACCTCACTTGAACCTAACTGACTTACAGAAAGAGGACTTATTGTCCTAGTTCTGGAGACAAGAAGTCTAATATCAAAAGGTCAGCAGGGTCATTTTCTAGCAAGGGGTCTCCTCCTTGCTTACAGATAGCCATCTTCTCACTTGGCTTCTCATAGTGGAGAGACACCTCTGATATATCTTCCATTTTCATCAGGACAGCAGATCCATTGGGTCTGGGGATGACCCATTTTAACCTTACTTACTAATTTAACCTTGAACCAAGATTACTTCCTTAGAGGTTCCATCTCCAAATGCAGACAACTGGGAGTTAGGGCTTCAACGTACGAATTAGGGTGGCATACAAACATTCAGTCCCTACTGGCAGGCTTTTCTTGGGGGCCCCTTTACTGCCAACAACTTTTACATGATAACCACCACTATCACTGAGGGTGTAATTTTTTGCACCATTGAGTTCCAAGTCCTGTGCAAGATCCCACAAGCTAGCAACAGTGCATCGTGAGTCATGATTTCTCCCCATTCAGAGGAGGGCGTGAGGCTTGGGGCAGGTGATCTTGTCACTTGAGATACCAGCCTCAGGTTCAGATACACAATGCCAACTATTCGGACTGAAGGATGGTTAGTGACCATCACAGGTTAGTGGTGGAATTAGATCCCAAATCCAGGACTCCAAGTTCTGGTTCATCATCTCAATGCATAACACTTTGGTTTCTGAGAAAACCAGGGGTATAGAAAGTTCAATTATTATTTAAAATAATTATTTATTTAATTTTATTATTATTATTATTATTATTTTAATTTGCTATAGGGCATGTGGGCTCATCAGAGAAAGAGAGAGAGAGAGAGAGAGAGAGAGAGAGAGCTGCCAAGTCCTAGACTCTAACTACGGTCAGCCATGTTGGAGTCCAGTGCCCTAACCATCCCATATCTCCTGGCCCTGCGGTTCAATTATTTTTACACTTCACTTGGATTTTGGCAAGGACCACTGAACTATAATTGTTTTAGGAGAATGTTCTATGTGTAGTTGTTTTTAATTTTTCATAAAACATGGGAACAAATGACCGGTTTACTATTTACTACTTTCCTTGGGCACTTATTTAGCACCTCCTCGCTCTACTTTCATTAATCAAATGGAGAAGCAGGGATGCAATTGCATAGGGACATTTTAGGAATAACTTGCCATCGTGCCAATTAATGTATATTATTTCATGTATAATGTATTTGATAAACATGACTTGATACCTCTAGATATCACGTCTTAGGTATGTGTATACTTGGTCTCATTTTCTCCACTTTTATAGGGAAGAAAATGTATCATTCTTTTTAAGAACATCCTTTGTAAAATGCTGAAAGTTAAAATATTAAGAATGCCGACTGGATTCCGACTTTCAGTGTACTGATGTTCCTGTTGCAAAGGTCTTCACAATGAACGAGTGACTTAACAAACTTTGTAATCCTTTACTACCTCCAGGCAGTGGATAACTTTTAGCCCGTTTATCTTTGGAGCACACAGCAAATCCCCTTTCTTCCTAAGGCCACGAGTGCCTGGTTTTATAATGCCAACGTCCCACCGAAGGGCTCACTGGCGTTTATGAGATGGAAGTAGGTCCATGCGGCATGATGAATGGAGCATGCAGTGCTGTCTGCATTTCAGACAGGAAGTTCATTTAGCTGCCCTTGTCTTTTTGGGGTAGAATTTAAGACTTTTCCAGAACCAAAGTTACCCATGATGGAGATTATTTTATGATGCTTACTGTAAATAAGCACCAAATCTTTTCTTTTGTTTTACTGTATTTGGTATCTACACTGGTATAGGTGAGTTGTCCTGATGGTCATTCATGAAACCATCTAAGCTGACAGAGGGGGAATTTGTTCCGAACTAAGGATCCCTCCACCAGACTTGTATAGAAGGCCTTTTGCTTTCAATAACCAATAGAAGCAGTTAGATTTGCTTTATTCTTGTTTATCCTTGTGCCATTTGGAATTATGTGCAGCACTTTACTCTAGAAGTATCTAATTGTTAATAATTAGAGGGCATCAAGGGTCTCAGTTTCAGGAAGAAGAATGAGTTAGGAGGATAATACATAATATTTCAAAGCGATATAGAAAGCTCCATAGAAAACAATAACCAGACAATTTATTTAAGTAATAGCAAAAACAGTTATAGCCATAATCTAGAAGGCACTCTATTTGGTGCTTAAAAGTCTGCCCTACCAGAGAGTGAAGTTCCCATCTGAACTCCAGCCTTACTAAACTATTGTGTCATGACGAATTTTTTTTTGGAGAGATTTTCACTGTAGGGCGCGTGCGCTCGCCAGACAGACAGAGAGAGACATAGAGACAGAAAGCGAGAAATCACCCCCCAGGGGGGATGGTCACGCCGCAATCCCTTCTCCTCCATTCTCCTCTCGGGATCATGGGCACGCACGCACACGTGCCCGGCATGAGTTTTAAGCCCCCGGGTCCGGTACATGAACTGCGGTCGACTACGTGGGAGTCCAGAGACATAGCCGTTATGCTAACTGCTGGTTCCCATGACGAATTTTTTTCTATGTTTTTTTTTATGCAAAAATGTGTCATGACTTCCCTGACAACTCAGTACATCAGTCACTAAAATGGAACATTGTCTGGAAGCAGTGACATAGCTGTGGTGTGGCCGCCTCCAGAATCTTGTGTTCACTTTAATTTCCTCTAATTAGAAATGATGGAGCTGAAATGGAAAACAGAGCTAAAAAATGGTCTAGTAGATGAGGAAGCTGTGGATTGGAGGAGTAAATATGGAGACTGGGCCCTGTCCACCAAGACCCTTGATACTCAGTGCAGATTTGCAGCTATGTGGGAGGAGCAGGCAGTAAATGAGCCAAGGTGTGATTAACACCAGGTACTCCCAGCAGACGGTTAGGTGCTTGTGGGTTGACCACTAAGCACTGGTGAGCTAGGACAAGGGTAATAAGCCACACACAGACACTGGAAGAGACGCAGCTAGAGGAGCCACAGGCAGAAGAGAGCTGGGTGGGTTACTTACAACCCAATAAATGCATCCTATAAATGTGAACAGTTCTCAAAATACTGGGAACAGAATCCTTGGGTGGCATACTCATTATAGGCTGGAAAAAGGACCCAAGTGTAGTAAACTTCAAAACCAGTTCTGGACAGGTCAGGCCGACAATTCAGTGAGAAACAGGGTCCAGAAAGACAATGAGGTAGAGCCAGTGGTCCTGCCACACGGCCCCAGCTCACTGGGGCACCCAGGGCTCTCACATACCTGGGTTCCTTGAGAGCAGCCCGAGGCCCTTATGTTTATACTACGGCTCCTGGTTTTCGTGATGTCAGTTTTTCTTTCTATTCTTTTTATTTTTGAGAGATTTTTGCTATAGGGCATGTGTGCTTGCCAGAGAGAGAGATAGAATGTGATAAATCCCCTCTCCCAGGCGTGGGATGGCCACACTGCAATCCCCTCTACTTCATTCTCCTCCTGGGATTTTAGGCATGTATGCACACACGCCCAGCATGCCACCAGATCTGGGACTTGAACCGTAGTTAGCCATGTGGGAGTCCAGTGCCTCAACTAATACATCACCTGCTGGCCCTTATGCTAGTTTTTCAAAGGCACTGCATACATGAAACAAGCTCTGTATGCAGACCTCATCCATCAGGTGGGTAGCTTGCAGCCAACTGTGGCTTAGTATCACCCTTGATTATCTGGAAGAGTAGACCCCCTAATGCAGAGTCCCCTTCACAACTAGAACCCAACAGTGTGGACTTGACCAAGATAAGTGGAACTCCTTTTTGGTTTTTAAGAGACTTGTTGATAGGCAGTGTACCTGTCTTCCAAGAGTTACTTAAAATGCTGTAATTATATCAAATCTCCCAGCACAGTCCCTCTCCCTGCCACAATAGCAGCTGCTTGTGTATTCACTCATTGATTCTTTCCTTCCTTGATTTAACTCACTCATTTTCTTCTGGCCACTGCAGCTCAATGGACCATAGAATTGCTGTCCTGCTACCAGACTAGTGCAGTCACCATTTATGGTTAGTTGAATGACGTCCCTGTGCCAGGCACATTGTCTGTTCTTTGGCAGTTACAAGGACTTTCAATGAATTTTTGAATGCATCCACTGGTTGTGCCATTGGTCTGCCAAGGGCCCTAAGAAGTGAGCAAAGTAGGCATTTTTTCTAGCTACTTTGCAGATAAAGATACAGGAACTGAGAGATGAGGTCTTACTCTAGACCACGTGGATTGAGAGTTCTGGAGCTAGAGGAGCATCGAGTTGTAGATTGCAGGGCCCAGTGCCTCACCTGTCTCCATGCAGTCCCTTCAGGGAGTGCATGAGGTGCTCTGGGAGGCTGTGTTGTTAGAATCAACATCAGGCTAGATCCATGAATCCATTTTAATGCCCAGATTCCCTCATTCCCAAATCGGTCTATCACTGGCATGCAGGACATCTTATCAAAAACTGAAAAAAAATTACCTACTTAAAAAAAGTAATTTCCATCTTATACTTTTGTACTGTGAACCTGTTATAAAACCAAGTATTAGAAATGACATGTTGGAAATGCTAGTTTTGGGTGGTATGGACCCCAGAAATGCATTTCTGTGAAACTTAAAAGAAGTTGTGCAGAGGGTCAGTCTCCACATTGTACCAGGAGGAGAAATTTATGAAAGAAATGAGAAAGGTTGATGGCAATTTTCTGATTCTGTGCTCTGCTCTGAGGAAATGCAATTTCTGTCCCACACCTCCTTTTAATTCATCCCTGCCCAAAACCCCTGTTCCTAGCACCTGCAGGCTGTCCAACAACACAGCTCAGAAATGAATTCTCAGCAGTTTTCAGGCCTGACTCTTTCCACTGTGTATCCCAGATTTATCTTCATCGTATTTCTTCCATCTTAAAATCTCATTCCTTCCTTCTTCCTTCTCCTTTTCTTTCTGCTGTTTCCTCCCTTGTCCTCTCCCCACTCCTTCTTCACAACTCTTCTTACCATGTCTTTCTTTCCTTTTCCAAATGTACCATGTTATTTCTCAGGTTTCTGGACTCCAGACAATTTTTATTTCTTTTAGTTTGGAATGTGACCATGAAGAACAACACCAGCATATTCTGTAGTCCATGTGGATGATATTCGGGTATTACCTGGTTACCAGTTAAAGTGACATAATTCTATTGTGTGGAATCCACATCTTGCCTGTAGGCCCACTGTCATAGGAAAAGAAATAAATCTACATGATGTTCTTGATGGATGCTCCTTGACTTCAGTACTTGATTTGTCAGATGATACAATAATACACACTTAGCAAAACACTCCTAAGTAATTCAAGAGGTGATGAGGAGTGTCTGTGTATCTGCCGTTCAAATTAAAGTCGGCAATAACTTCCACTCTGTCTTTTTTCACTTCCGATCATTTCCTTCCGTTGAGAGACTCCCCAGATGTGGTGACTTCAGATCGACACTGGGACGGACATTAAACAGGGGGCTTGGGGACATGGGATGCGCAGTTGTCCGGCATGCAGAGGCGTTCTCGGCTCAGGGGTTTCCAAGCTCCCTCCTGCGAGGTGCGGGAGCCCCAGGGTGTGGAGGCGGCAGGTTCCGCACTGAGCTCGCCTGTCTTCCCTCGCAGTGCGGCACCGTGGACCAGGGCCTGTACGTGAACCTGACGGAGAGGAACCTGCAGGACGCCCAGAAGTTCCTTCTGATGCACGACGTGGTCCAGCCCGTGAGCACCGCGCCCTCCTTCCTGGAGGACGACAGCCGCTTCTCCCACGTGGTGGTGGATGTGGTGCAGGGCCGAGACGCGCTCGTCCACATCATCTACTTGGCCACAGGTAGGCGCCCCTCCCCCAGGGGTTTTCTACCCCTGCCCAGGTCGTGTTTGCCACCCCACACGTTTAGCTGGGTCTAGGCTTTGGGTGTGCCTGCTTTCCTCGCCACCTGCAAAACTCACGATGCTCACTTATCTTATCCTCCATGTGTCTTTATGGAAATCTTAATTTCACTCCCCCTTTGTGCTCTCTTAGTCATAATTTTAATTGGAAAGATGCTGCCTCATTTCTTAACCATTGTTTCTCAACTATTTATAAAATAATCTTTTCTTTGCAAGATCATTTAATTTGGTTAATTGAGTATAATGCAGTGCTTTGTGTGAGGACATTGTTGGGTATAATATTTTCCTGGGGGTGTCAGAGTGATGTCTGATTGGTTCAATAAACCATGCTCCTAGCAAAGTATTTCTGAGGTAAGATAGCACAAGGAAGAATTCTGAAGAACATGTGTTTGCGCACAAATAACAGTATTTTCTAGCAATTAGGCAACAATATTCATTCAGTTCTAAATAAAGCACCACAACTCTTCTAAAGCACACTCTTGGGAGTGCAGAAGGCGTATCGCATCTCAGTTTATTGCACAGACAGCTCAAGGTGCCCAGACCAGCCTGGGACCACAGCCCCGCTCTGCACACTTGCCCAGTCCTTCCTGCCTAAGTCCTCGCCTCCCAGGGGCAGAACGACCTCCCTGTGCAACCGGTCCCTCCCCCGTCTTTGCCCAGCGCTCTGTGTAACTGGCACTTCCTCAGGGAACACAATTACTATTGTCGTTGATATCTTATTTCTTTTCTTGATGTAACTCAATTTGTAATATTTACTTACCCGTTGGTTTATTTTGTTTGTGCACTTGGCAGTGTTCATTGAGCACTTACTATTTTCATGTTCAACTGAAACACCGGGGAGGGAGCCGGTGCACAGCCGGTCTTGTCCTGCTGTCTTGAAGTCAGACATCCTAACGGGGAACACCGGCGAGGGAGCTGGTGCACAGCTGGTCTTGTCCTGCTGCCTTGAGGCAGACATCCTAACAGGGAACACCGGGGAGGGAGCCGGTGCACAGCTGGCCTTGTCCTGCTGCCTTGAGGCAGACATCCTAACGGGACAGCAGATGGTAAACAAACCAGTGATAAGAGGCTTCCCCAATACGTGATGATGCAGGTACGCTCTGGATACAGGGTGACGTGGGAGTGAGCGCCCGGACATGCCTTGCCTGGCTGTCAGCACTGTTCTGTCAGGCTACCTCTTCCTGCAGTCACGTCCCTCCTCAAGTCTCAGAGAGGAGCCTGTTTCTATCAGACTCATTCTGGTCCTCTGGGATGCAGCTCTAGAGTCTGGACCAGGAGGCTGGGGGAAAGGAGAGGACTTGACTGAGCTGCCAGGTCAATCTGTAAGATAAAGACTGGAGGGGATCCTGAGAAGGTGTGCATAAGGGAAGAAGGGGTGATTGTATTTGCCTGTTCGATGGGATGGAGAAGCAGCATCTTTAAAAACAAATGGCAGGGTAATAAGAATATCAGTGACAGAAGTGTTTCTAAGGCCAGTGACCAAGATCCATCAGGTTTATTGGTTTTCAAGAGTTGCATGGTAAAAATAGAATTCTGCTTCGAAATATGGACATTGACATGGACAGCTACCACCATCAGAAGCTAGGATCAGAAAAATAAAGGTTCTAACCAGAGTCTCTAGGGATTAGGGCCCTGCTGACACCAGGATACAGCATTTGAAAGAAGGGTCACTTTTTGGAGCTTTGACCATTTCCAGTAGCGATTAGAGCCTACAGATCCAGCTGTGGTAAAGTTCACAATTGCAGATGAGCATCATCTCGCTGAGATGGAAGAACGAGGCAGAAGATGAGAGGTTCCATAAGTGGATGAGACTCTGAGGTATATGCGGGGTCCGAGTCAGTGCAGCCTCAGAGAGGAAGATGCCTCCATGCAGATGGCCCAGAGCGCATGCCAGTTGTCCCCCACAGCGCTGCCTTGAACACGAGGTGGAGATGGGGCCGGTGACCCTCCTACCCATCCACTTTCCCTTCCCAGTACATGCCAGTTGTCCCCCACAGTGCTGCCTTGAACACGAGGTGGAGATAGGACCGGTGACACTCCTACCCATCCATTTTCCCTTCCCAGTTAGATTTTCTTGAAGTTTGTTTATTTATTTATTTATTCATTCATTTATTTATTGAGAGACAGAAAAATAAAGAGAGCCAGTTCCCCCTAATGGGCTTCTCATGCCACAATCCACCGGCAGCCTCAGCCAGCCCCAATCATGGACATGTGTGCACATTCCTGACATGCCCGGGGGGGGGGGCTCAGCCTCAACTGGGAATTTCCCACGTGAGTCCAGTTGCATTATAGTTGTACCATTACTGGCTCCCAAGTAGATTTTAAACATAGAACATGGAGTTTTTATTGTTGCTTGCTTTCGATTAATTATTATTACAGTCAGGATATCCATATGACTTCTAAAATGAACTTGTAAAAAACAAAAACAAATGAACATCATATGTACTCTAGAAAATTTCTTCTGAAAGTGACAATTGCCTGCTAGCTCAACAAATGCATAAATCCTATTCCTAATTGTCTTACCACTCTGTGTTTTGTTTTTCTAGCACCTAATTTTTTGCTTTCTGCTCTTTTCTTTTTTTCTTTTTCTTTTCCTGTCTTTCTTTTTATTTTTTATTTTTTAATTTTTGCCATAGGGTACATGTGTTCACCAAAGAGAGACAGGGGGAAAGTGAGAAATAACCCACTGGGAGGATGGTCGTGCTGCTGTTTATTCTCCTCCATTTTCCTCTTGGGATTCTGAGCACACATACACACCCACCCGGCATAGTTTCAGGCCACTGGGTCCAGGCCTTGAACCAAGGAGTTGCCCATGTGTGATTCAATGCCCCAACCATCATGCTACCTGCTGGCCCTCAGCTCCCTTTCTAAAGAAAGTGAAGTGAGGTTGTGGAGTGAGGGACATGTCTTAACATTCCCTCTGACTAATACACATAAGACATGTCAAAAACCATGTAATACACTTGTTGTTGCTGTCACTCCTGAGAATGATCTCAATGATCTCAGTATTTGTAAGCAATTTTAAGCTACCTAAGTGTCATGAACAAGTATTCATTTGTGAAAAGTGCTCATATTAGCAAGGCTTTTGCACCATTTAAATTGCTGCCTTCATAGAAATTGCAAATGCAAACTTAATTTGGACTTGCTTTCTATGTTCTTGTTTCTGTAAGGGGTCCCATAGGCTGAAAAGGGAACATCATATACTTTGAGTGCTTATTTGACAGTATTTGAGGAAATTTGGATTTATTAATAGAGTAGTTGCAGCAAATAATAGCAATGCAGAAAAATCCTTATTACTAGTTTTATGGGTTAAAATGTGTCTTAAAAATATATGTTGAAGTTCCTAATATCAAATACCCCCAAATGTGATCCTATTCAGAAATATAAGTTCATGGTCTTTAAAGGTATAATTAGATCAAAATGAAGTTGTACTGGAGTAGGGTGGATCCGTAACCCAGTAGGACCAGTGTCCTTATAAGAGCATAGAGACACACGGAAAGAATGCATTATGTCAACACAGGCAGAGATTGTGGTGATATGGCTGCAAACCAGTGCACACTGACATGGACAGGTACCACCGTCAGAAGCTAGGATCAGATAAACCATGGTTCTACCCAGAGTCTCAAGGGAATAGAGCCCTATTGACACCAGGATCCAGAACTTGAGAGAACTGTTGCTTTAAGCCCCTAAGAAGATGGTATTTTATTACAGTAATCCTAAGCCACTCTACTGGAGTAGAACTTTCCACTTGCCACCTGGTCTTCCAGTCAAATTTAAAGCGTAGCTTCCCAGGTCCAGCAGTGGGTATAGTGGCTATGTCACTGGACTCCCGTGTAGTCAACTGCAGTTTGAGTTCTGAACCCGGTGGCTTAAACTCACGCCAGGTGCATGTGTGTGTGCCCAAGATCCTGAGAGGATAATGAAGGAGAAGGAATTGCAGCATGACCATCCCCCTGGTGGTGGTGGTGGGAGAGATTTCTCACTTTCTGTCTCTCTTTGTCTTTCTGGTGAGCACATGCGCCCTATAGCAAAAACCTCTCCAAATAAAAAAATGAAATAAAGTGTAGCTTCCTAATGCTGCTCAGTGCCCTAAACTCAAAGAACAAAAGTAGTTCTTTAGTATTGGTCCATATCAGGATCAATTAAAATGAAAAATCTATCACTGAAAACAATTTAATGTATGCTGAACAAATAAAAATGTTTCAAAACAATGAATTGTTTTGTTTGATTAAATATACAAATTATTTCTTGCATTTTAATGTGTTTTGGTTTTAGATATGTTTTCTGAATAATTTTATTTACTTATACCTCATTTCCTAACTTTGAAATAGTACGATGTTAGGACTTATGAATTAGTAAATATCCCAGTGTATTCTAAATGGGCTGTTGCCAATTTCCATCTTACAGAGTAGCTTAGATTCTTGTTTTCTTCTTGGCCTGTTGTCTCCCTTTTTGCTTTCTTTGTTTTAGAATAACATAAAGCAGTAGCTTTCATCTTTTATGTTTGACATGATCAGTATTGATTGAAAGCTGCCCCAGATAGTAGAGGTTGTGTTCTATGTACGAAATAAATAAATAAAATAAAATAAATTTGTTTTACCTATTTTCACAAAGATCCTGCCTGATACAAATTTCCGATGTAACTCCTTTAGGTTTACTGGCAGTAGTTGGAGGCTAGGCTCAATATGTTTCTCTTCCCAAACCTGTAGTCCTGGTGCTTACACAGAAATCCGTTCATGGTATAATGTTTTCAGTGTGAGGTGTTGATATCATAACTCCAAGGAGGTTTTAGTAATGTCAACCCAATGCCCCAGGCTTTCTTTTCTTGCTAAGTGTAAATCTATTTCTATAGAGGAATGTTCAATCCATTTTCTACATGAGGGGTTTCAGTAGTAAGGAAGACTTCCATGCATGTGGCTTCTGCACCCGCATCCATATCAT